TTCTGTTTGTTTTTATCATTCTTGTCTCCCGGTCTGTCTGTCAGGCAGTTTGTTTGTCTTTGTGTCTTTGTCTATCTATATATCCGTCTGTCTGACTACCTATCTATCTATTTGTCCGTCTATCTATATATCTGTCTATCTATCTATCTATTTATCTGTTTGTCTGTCCGTCTGTCTATCTTTATCTCTTTCTGTATCCATCTATCGGTCTATCTAATTGTCAATCAAGAACTTGATAATTTTAAAATATTTATAACCTAACTCGTCACGTAAATAAGATAACAAGTCAGATAAGATTGTCTGAAAAAGTGTATATTTCTGCAGCTTTAGGAATATTTGTATAAATTCGAACTGATACGTATTTGATAACAAGAAATCAAAGTGTATTTCGGTTTCTGTTGATTAGATATTGGCGGAAATGGTTACTAAATGTTCTTAAGATATAGAAAGGTAGTATAACTTAGAATAACTAAACAATCAAACGCTAGTTAGACAGGTATATACCCCACATCCCACACCAATACCCCATACCCCACACCCCATACCTATACCCCTACATACACCCACACCCAACACCTCCCATACCCCCTCTCCCCCACCCCACACCCCCATAACTCCACCTCCCTCTCTCCACACCCCACACACCCCCTCTCCCCCACCCCACCCCACACCCCGTCTCCCTCTTCCCACACCCTCTATAACCCCATTCCCTCTCTCCCCACACCCCCACCACACCCTCTCTCCCCCCACCCTTCTCCCCCCACCCCACACCCCCAACACATCCACCCCACATTAAATCCCAACTGTGACATGACGAAGTGACATGACCACCTGAACGCAGACCTCGGGGAAACTAGGCATAAACCCCAGTGGGTCGCACTTGACGAGATCGAGTGACCTTGCGTGAAGGACCCGGTCGCTGGAATGAAGGAGGACCGGCTTGGGGGGGAGGAGGGGGGCTAGGGGGAGGTGGGGAGGGGGAGGACCGGCTTGGGGGGCGGGGGGAAAGGGGGAGGAGGGGGGAAGGGGGAGGGGGGCGAGGGAGGCGGTGGGGAAAGTACGGGCTAGGAGGGGGGGAGGGGGGTGGGGGTATGAGGGTTGGGGTTGGGTTGGGTTGCTTTGGTTTGTTTGTTTGTTTGTTTGTTTTGTTTTGTTGTAGTTTGGCTTTGTTAGTGTTTATATTTGTTTGTTTTGCTTGTTGTTTGTTTTGTTTGGTTGTTTTTGTTGTTGTTTTGTCATTTGGTTGTTTGTTGTATGTTTGGTTTTGTTGGTGTTTGTTGTATGTTAATATATATATATATATATATATATATATATATATATATATATATATATATATATATATATATATATATATATATATATATATATATATATATATATATATATATATATATATATATATATATATATATATATATATATATATATATATATATATATATATATATATATATATATATATATATATATATATATATATATATATATATATATATATATATATATATATATATATATATATATATATATATATATATATATATATATATATATATATATATATATATATATATATATATATATATATATATATATATATATATATATATATATATATATATATATATATATATATATATATATATATATATATATATATATATATATATATATATATATATATATATATATATATATATATATATATATATATATATATATATATATATATATATATATATATATATATATATATATATATATATATATATATATATATATATATATATATATATATATATATATATATATATATATATATATATATATATATATATATATATATATATATATATATATATATATATATATATATATATATATATATATATATATATATATATATATATATATATATATATATATATATATATATATATATATATATATATATATATATATATATATATATATATATATATATATATATATATATATATATATATATATATATATATATATATATATATATATATATATATATATATATATATATATATATATATATATATATATATATATATATATATATATATATATATATATATATATATATATATATATATATATATATATATATATATATATATATATATATATATATATATATATATATATATATATATATATATATATATATATATATATATATATATATATATATATATATATATATATATATATATATATATATATATATATATATATATATATATATATATATATATATATATATATATATATATATATATATATATATATATATATATATATATATATATATATATATATATATATATATATATATATATATATATATATATATATATATATATATATATATATATATATATATATATATATATATATATATATATATATATATATATATATATATATATATATATATATATATATATATATATATATATATATATATATATATATATATATATATATATATATATATATATATATATATATATATATATATATATATATATATATATATATATATATATATATATATATATATATATATATATATATATATATATATATATATATATATATATATATATATATATACATATACACATACATACACACATATACACATACATACACACATATACACATACATACACACATATACACATACATACACACATATACACATACATACACACATATACACATACATACACACATATACACATACATACACACATATACACATACATACACACATATACACATACATACACACATATACACATACATACACACATATACACATACATACACACATATACACATACATACACACATATACACATACATACACACATATACACATACATACACACATATACACATACATACACACATATACACATACATACACACATATACACATACATACACACATATACACATACATACACACATATACACATACATACACACATATACACATACATACACACATATACACATACATACACACATATACACATACATACACACATATACACATACATACACACATATACACATACATACACACATATACACATACATACACACATATACACATACATACACACATATACACATACATACACACATATACACATACATACACACATATACACATACATACACACATATACACATACATACACACATATACACATACATACACACATATACACATACATACACACATATACACATACATACACACATATACACATACATACACACATATACACATACATACACACATATACACATACATACACACATATACACATACATACACACATATACACATACATACACACATATACACATACATACACACATATACACATACATACACACATATACACATACATACACACATATACACATACATACACACATATACACATACATACACACATATACACATACATACACACATATACACATACATACACACATATACACATACATACACACATATACACATACATACACACATATACACATACATACACACATATACACATACATACACACATATACACATACATACACACATATACACATACATACACACATATACACATACATACACACATATACACATACATACACACATATACACATACATGCACACATATACACATACATACACACATATACACATACATACACACATATACACATACATACACACATATACACATACATACACACATATACACATACATACACACATATACACATACATACACACATATACACATACATACACACATATACACATACATACACACATATACACATACATACACACATATACACATACATACACACATATACACATACATACACACATATACACATACATACACACATATACACATACATACACACATATATATATACATACACACATATATATACACATACATACACACATATACACATACATACATACATATACACATACATACACACATATACACATACATACATACATACATACATACTTACACAACGTATATATATTTATTTAGTGATATTTGAAATCAACGTATATATACATGCTTATAAAGGTTTTCATTCCTCCATAGCACTTCTGTCAGCAGTGTATGGAAGAGAATAGTTAATTAATTGGCATTTAGAGAACACTAAAATGGGTGAATCTCCGTGCATGCTAATGATACCCCAGCGAAGATAATCCTGTGGTGTAGTGCAAGGGATTAGGGGTTTATTTTAGAGCCCCAGGGTGGAAGCTCGGAATTAGGGGTGAATCTCCGAGGGGTCAAAAAAGCCCACGGGTATATGGGTATCTTTGCGAAGGGTATGCATTGGTTTAAAGAGGGTGGTTGGAGTTTGCAGGCCACTGTGATGCCTTGGCTAACTTTCATCTCTGTTTATTTTGTTATGTTAGAATTTTTTTCTGAAGTCCTTGAGAGAAGAAACTAGGGATTTTGCTTTCTGTTTAATGTTCAGTCATTTTGTTTTCACTGACCGTCTGTCTGTCTCAGTCTATTCAGTTATATCTTGTTTTTGTCTCTGTGTCTCTGCCTTTAGCCTTGTTTGCATTTTTCTCTGTCTATTTATTTGTTTCCATGTCTATCTGTCATTCTACATTCTGTGTATCTGTGTCTATTTATCTATATGTCTGTCTGTTTCTGTCTGTTTGTTTCTGTCTGTCTGTCTGTCTGTCTGTCTGTCTGTCTGTCTCCCACTCCCTCCCCCTCTCCACTTTCTGCCTGGCTCATCCCCTCCTTCCCTCCCTTCCTAAATTCATGTAGATTTTAATCAGTTTACTTTGCCGGCTTTCTGTCATTCTCAATGTCATTCTCAGCTTTTGTTGCGTTTAGTTGCCCATTTTTGCTAATATTAATTTACTTATGTTCTCTTTTTTTCTGCAGGAAGAAGAAGCTTCCACTACCTGGCAGTGGCTCCCTGGAGGACCTCAAGAATGCCCTTAAGGTACAAGAACCTCAGGATCTCGGCTTCTTTCTTCACGGCTTTACCATATTCATGCCGGCCTTTGCGTAAGTTTCAAGGGAGACGTTTTTGTGCCATAATTGGTTTTCTCTACAGTAGATCCCCTTAATATTTGTGACATATTAATATGATTGAAAGAAGCAGTTGACTTTGATGTTTGGATGTATTGAAAATATATATTCCATGTTTCTGAAATTGTATTCAAATGTTTTTGGAGATTTTCAGTTGTAAGGTTCCACTTTGCTTGCCTAATGCATTTTCCACTACAAGCATGCCACTTTTTCCTAAAATCCTGGTTCTTTGGTTTGTTTTACATCAGATTTAGTTACTGAATGGTTCATTAGTTTAGTTGAGTCACTAGCTTTTAGTGGGGGTTCAATGATTACTTATTAACACATCAATTACATTTTTGTTGATTTGTATGGCATTTTATGAGCATCAGAGACTCCATAATTTGATAGAGAACTGAAACAAAGATTTCAGTATATCTTATCCATTTAACTTCTCTGTGAATCTCTTTCCAAAGTGTCTGTAATTCTTGTTTAATGCTTTGATCTTACACGAGATGATGTAAGGCTGACAGTATATTGAATCTTCATCTTATAAATACTAGTAATAAAATCTCTTGATCAGTGGGATTTGTTAGCACTTTCATTTTTCTGTTTTTTACACTCTTTATTGCATGCATATCTTATGCAGTGAACGAGACTTATCTTTTCTTCATATTCACTATTATATTGTAGTGCTCTTGCAAAAGTTGTTCATTGTACTATATATCCTGCAACTTTTCTCTTGAACACATAATTTTCATTGTCATCATTAAGTAATTCAGATTATTTAGTGTATGAAATGTGGAATGCATTGAAAATTCTGACACAGCTGCTGGGTTCTAAGCCTAGATTGTTCTTTTTCCCTCACAGAGGAGATTTGGAAGCTATAGAGAGGATATCGTATGAATTCGTGGAGGATCAGGCGAGGGAGAGCGTAGCGTACTGCGAGACGAGATTCTGTCCGCACCTGTTTCTCCCAGACAGCGCTCATCAGCCAGATTACTTGACGTCTGAAGTAAATGGTACAGCTGAGGGGAACAGTGGAAGTAAGAGCAACGAGCAAACGACCTCTTTCTGCTCATGGTATCAAGTAGATAGAAAGGGTGCAAGATGGACATAAGTGACTGTGTGATATGTAAAAGCTCAGGTTTGATTCCAGTATTTTGATAAGGAATATGTACTGAATGAGAGGGTAAATGTACTGGTATCTGTACTTGTATAGTGTAGTGTAGTGTAGTATAGTGTAGTGTAGAAACTATAACTATTCCCTTTTCAAGTGCCGATCCTTTCACAGATGTCACCATTGATGATGTTTTAAAAGTGGTTTTAAAGGGGCTGAGACGAGGGGAGGAGGAATTTGGCACAAAAGTCAGAGTTATTCTCTGCTGCATACGAGGATTACCACGTAAGGCACCGACCTCCTATTTTTAGTTTGGTTTTAAGTACCGTAGCTGTGTGTACTGTCATGATGATACTATGTTAAGGCAGAAGTTTGAAATTCATTGCATTTTTTATTTGGAAAACAATTTGATTTACCTTCTGTTATTGCTATATGATAAAGAATTCTGTTTTAGACAAAAACTATTCAGTATATATATGATGAGAAGCTTTTTAGGTTTTGGTGAGCCTTCTCATTTTTTTTAATCAATTTTATCTTAAAGAACTATTGAATTTTGCAGATTTGTCAGGGGAAATTTTACGTCTGTGTGATGAATATCGAGACAAAGGAGTTGTAGGAATTGATATTGCTGGTAATGAAGGAAGTCAGGGAGGTGAAGGTAAGTAGAATGTCAAAAGTTTAGTTGTGGAAAATTTTATTTGCTTTTTATCAGTGTAAATGTTAAGTGCAGTATTATTTTTTTTTTATATGTTTTGGAGAATTTGTTTTTCTCTGTGTATGTGTTCTTTATGAAATTGGTGTAATATTAGTGTGAACATTTGAGGTGTAATGCTATATATATTTTTTTGGCACTAAGATATGAGTATTTTTATTTGATAGTTATAATGTATAACTAGGCATGCATCCTGTAGACTCATCAATTTCCATTTTATTAGATGCTGGCATGCAGAACGCTATAGATATTGCTGTGTTCCAAGCTGCCAAGGAGAAGGGAATCCACCGAACAGTGCATGCCGGGGAAGCAGGACCTGCCAAGGGTGTTCAAGAGGTAGTAGCATTATCATCACATTTATGTGTTGGTTTATGTGTTGGTTCCATAAAAATGAAAATGCCGTGGTAAAGATGGAAACATTAAATCCATCATATGTTGAGTTAAATTGGCTTCCTCATCGGGTGGTAGTACTAGTTATGTTTTATTTCAATTTACACTAGTTACTGCGTTTTAGAGACAAAATACCATATCTTCTCTTATTTAAAATCTTTTGACCACAGCCTAGGATTCCATAGCCATTTTCAAGTACATGTCTTAAGTAACAAAAAAATGAATGTGCTAATCTGAATATTGTTGCTGTTTCCTCTTTTGGGAATCATAGTAAAGAGTCCTTGTTTGAGCAACCAAATGCTTAAAAAGGTAATTTCAAATGAAAAATGTGGATTTATGTGTATGAAAATTGTGATTTTTTTTTTTATTGTCTAGTTTTGTATCCAGAAGAACAATTACTGAACTTCAAAGATTTTTTAAATGCATGAGGATGCCTGAAAGCCAACTCATAATTTTCAGGAACTCATAGTTTTATTGAGCAAGAATTATTGAGAAAATATATACATCAATCATAAAAACTTATCTCATGTCAGCTGGTCATTTTCCGACTTTCCTGGTGTCTGCCAAAGGCCACAGATTGCAACACCTCTTGGGCAAAAGAGGCTTGAAAGCATATGGATACATTGTACAAGAACACAGGAAAGTGTTTCTAAGTCTGTGGACTGTAGCTGAGTAAGGCATCATGAATAATCATTAAGAATTGTGATTGCTGTTGCCTCACACGATGAAGAGGTTATTTCTACTAGCCTTTTGCTTTTGTTATTATTTTCAAAGTAACTGTTGTGTTAGAGTTGGTTATTTGATATTTGTATAAACTTAATTCAAGAAGGTCACATTAGAAGCCACTGCAATCAGTCTATATCCTTTAATGTGAAGGCGCAATAGTTGGTAAGTAAATATGTATGTTCCTAGATTCAGGAAACTAGAAAAATGTTTATCTATTTTTCTCATATAATGTTTATTACAGGCAGTGGAGAGTTTTGCTGCAGAGAGGATAGGCCATGGTTATCGAGTGCTGGAAGACGAGAGCATTTACCAAAAGTGCCTCAGGGAGAACATCCATTTTGAGGTTTGTCCGCACTCATCATATATGACAGGAGCGATAAAGAACTTAACGACAGCTTCGAAAAGACATCCAGTTCTAAGGTATGTGGTAGAGAATGAGTGACCGAGAGGCTTTTAAGATTCAAAGGTTTAAGACATAACTTCTTATGAATGGAGTATAAAGAATGTGATGAAATATTATATGAAAACAGCCAAATACACCTCTTTCTTTATGAAGATATTCATTCTTATTCAATTTTTTGTTCTTCAAAAATTATCAAGTGGCTGAGACAAAAGTCATCCTACTTCAACCCATAAAGGCTGATACAAGGCTCCTGTTGTAATTAACTGCAAGCATTATCTAGAGCAACACCCATTTCTCCATTTGTTTATTACATTTTTCAGTCACGTGGGAATATTATACAACATTGCCATATTTTTATGAATGATGGCAAAAACCTTTTACTTGATGTTTTTGGTTTCCTTATTACATACTTTTGATATTTCTGACTTGTAGGATCATGAAGCTTTGAATTATAGCAGAAACTGTACATTAATATTAATGAAAGCATAAGACATGGTAGAAAGATGGAGAACATGTACATCCACTAAGGAAAAGAAAAAGCTAATTGCAGTTTTACATTGTAATCAGTGTTTATAGAAGACTTACTTTATTTCTAGCACATTAATGATTAGCATAGTTAAAACAATTACCATTGCAGATCCACCTACTCATTCCTAGCAAATTAAAGATTAACATGATCAAACCAGTTACCACTCCAAACCCACGTACAAAGTGATGAGAATGGTGTACCTTTTTCACAGATTTGCAGAGGACGAAGCCAGTTTCAGTATTAGCACCGACGACCCAACCATTACCTTCACAACTTTGCCGGACGAATATCGTCTCCTTAGTAGCTGGGGATTTACAGAGGCTCATTTCACTCGTGCAGTATGTACCTCTGATATCTCTTTGTTTATAGATTACCATATGTGAAGATATGATTGGTTTTATAGATGTGATGTGTATTTATCTATATTTGTATATAGATATATATGTATCTCTCTATATGGTTTTAAGAGCTGTATTGATGATATTTTCACACACAAATTTTAGAGTTAGCATGAAATTTCCTGATATTTAATTATTGTCAGCTTCTACAGAATGATTCTTAAAAACTGAATATTCTATACAATTTCTCTCCTCTATGCTTCCTATTTAACAGTGTTTAGTATAAGGGTAAGAACGAGACTGCATCAGTGTCATATGTAGATTTAAAGTTTTGTTGGTATTTTGTTCAGGAAAATTACCATAAGCTTTGAAGCTGCATGATATAGAATATTTGATATTAGAAAACATTAAAAGAGAATCTAATTGATAATACATTTTAGATTTTAAGTGAGGAGGTGATGGATCAAGTTCTTTATTTATTTACTTTTCCATCTTTTATCTTCT